TATATAGTATAAGGTGTATATAAGCTTGTATTTAAATAGGCAGTAATATAACGTTATAGTAAATTAATATTAGCTGCACGTTATAAATATTAATTGATAAATAATTTCTTATTTAGAATTAGATTAAATTTCTTAATTGAATTAGATTAACAAAATCAATCAAAATTAAATTACCTTTATTTTTTAACTAATAAAATTAAAAGTTTCCTAATTAAAATATGACTAAAATATCCTTAATGATATTTTTAATTAACAAATAAAATTAAAAGTATGCAAGGGCGTTTTGGAAACCCAATATTCTCTCCATTCGTACTTTTATATATATTATAGAAGATTAGTCTTTTTATGACGTGCATTGCACGTTGACTATATTCGTTATTTATATTCATTCAATTTTTGTTATATTATTTAGATTTTTATAATGTTAAACTAAAATTTCATGTGAGATTAACGTGAATATAATGGTTAATTAATAAAACAGCAATGTGTATATATACATACACATATGTTTATTTTATTTAAAAATAAATTATAAAAAGTAAAAATTTAAAAATTTTGAAAGGTTTAATTATATATATTCTATGTGGAAATTTATTCTTTTAAAAAATTTCCAACAAAATTATACAAACATAAGTAAAAAGAATTTACAAAAAATATACTTTTTTATTTTTTTATCTCACTCCTAAAATATTTTAAATTATAATAAAAATATAATCAAACATTTAAAAAATTAAATATAAAAATTTTCAAATGTCAATTATCATATATATTTATTAAAAAATAAATTTGAAAAAGAGAAAACTTAAAAAATTTTGAAATGCTTAATTATCTATATTAATTATCTATATGTATTTATTTAAAAAATAATTTTAGTAAATTATATCCAATCAACTAAAAAAATATAATTTTCTAATTAGTCATTACTAAGATTATTTTAAGATATTTAAATTTTATTAATGACCTATTAGAAATCCCAATATTTCCACATTTATAATTTTCATTTTTTTTGGTAGAATTAATATTTCATCATTTTAAATTAATCTTTCCTCAAAATTTCTATACTAAATTCAAATAATCATTAGCCCCATATTATGACATCCTCTTTTATTATTTTATAATTCCCAAAATGGAGTCTATTTTCAAAGAAAAGAGATTAAATATTTTAAATATTTTATTAAATATTTGACAATATATTTGGTAATAATATTTTATCTTTTTAATTCAATGCTATAAAAATAAAGCAGTTTTTCAAAAACATACCCAATAAAGTATAAATTTAAAAGATGAACAATCATTAAATGTACCGTAAAGAAGTTTTGACCTCGAAGTATGGATCTATTCCTTCTCCAGAGATGAAATGTTTACATTCAAATACACAAACTATAAATCTAAACAATATTTTTTCTGAAAAAAAAAAAATTTAGACCTAATTAATATTATTAAACTAGTCATTAATCTGCACTTCCCACCCAGTTACTTATACCATCTAAATGTAATTAACTTAAAAATATTAATTAATTAAATGAAATAAAATAATTTAAATTTCAAACTCATAATAATCTATATATTAATTAAAATAATTGTACATAAATTTAAAAATATATTTAAGATCCAATCAAATTGTAGAAAAATAAAATAAAATTCTAAAATTTTTTAAAAAAAGAAAAATTGAAAGATGAAAGGAGAGAACATCTAGAATTTTATTTTTGTTTATATTTTAGTTGAATGATTATTATTATCAAATATTTTATATTAAAATTATTTAAAATCTCAAACATATTTTATTTTTGTTTATATTTTAGTTGAATGATTATTATTATCAAATATTTTATAATTAAATATATTTAAAATCTCAAAAAACATGTGAGACAATCACCATCTAGATTGCAAAAATTTAAATTGTGTGTCGAAGAGGAAAAAATAAATGGCAATAGTTTGCTATGTCTTGATGTTCCTACGAGGTGGAACTCCATATTTTTATGATCTCACTTTGCATGTTTTTTGGCTCATTGTTTGTTACTTCCAATCTTTAATTTCAAGAATTAGCAACATTGATTGTCTTTTAAAGGAATGGTGTGCTACAAATGATATTAGATTTTCTGGAATGGCCAAAAAAATGAAAGAAAAGTATTACAAATATTGGGAAAATCCAGAAAAACTTAATGTGTTTTTGTTTATTCCAATGGTATTTGACCCTTGGTATAAATTTGAATATTTAGAATTTGGAATTTATCAAATGCTTGAAATTGAAAAGTGAGAGGGGCTTCATATGATTTATTTTATGAGTACAAAGATTTTAACTTTGGTTTAAGTGGACAATCAAGTATTGACTTTCAAATTAATAAGTCGAGTGAGATGAATGAAGAGCAACCATCACAAAAGAGTCAACCAAAAATGGTATCTTTGTTCAAGAAGTTCAAAGCTCAACAACATGGAAGTCGTAATAAGATAGAATTGGATAAACATCTAGAAGATGGGCTTGAAGAGCATACTGATCATTTTGATATCTTGGAGTGGTGGAAGGTTATTAGCCTATGATATCCTATTGTTTCACAGATTGCACGTGATGTACTAGCAATTCTAATATCCACTCTCGCATCAGTGTCTGCATTTAACATAGGAGGTCGTGTTCTTGATTCATTTAGGAGCTCTTTGACTCCTAAGATAGTGGTATCACTGATATATACACAAGATTCGCTTTAGGCATCCTCAGACCCAGTGAATCTTGATGAAAATCTTGATGAGATAGAAAAATCAAATAACAGTAACTTTTTTTTTGCTGATGTTATTTATATATTATGTATAAATTATTAAAATATTCAATTATAACATGATTTATTTTATTTTTTTGTAGATATTTCAAAATCTTCACAAGGACCTTCTATTATTGATAGCCTATGATGTCATTGTGGTATTAATTTAACTGTTATGTTTTATCTAATTTGAAACTTTGGAAATACACCTCATGAACCTGGTAGCTTCTTTTTGGTGTCATTTCTTATGTTTTTAATGTTATAGTATTGACTCTTTCAAAAAAAAAAAAATGTTATAGTATTGAAAGAATTTTTTTTTTTTTTGAATAAATTCTTATTGGTATATTATACTTTGGTAGATCATAAATATTACTTACATATAATCTTATTTGTTTTTATAAATTTAAATTGTAGAAATTGATATTTTATACTTTATGCTATCAAATAACATAGCACTTTTTTGCTAGTTATAATTTTTTTTACTGTTATATATTATAAAATATATATTAATTCATTATGTTGTTTAATTACAATTATAATAATTATTAAATTATTTTAATGGTATCAAACCGTAAACTAGACCGCACCAAACCGCTTTTTGCGGTTTGGTTTAATTTGATTTCATTGATTAAATGGTTTAGTTTGGATTAAAAAATTTATAAACTGTAATTAATGGTTTGGTTCGAAAATTTTTTCAAACCGCACCAAATCAAACTGTACTCACCCCTATTCGAGAGTCTCCGAAGAGTTTTGGTGTCCGACACTGATACGACACCACTACGCTAGTCCTTTTAAGGTGTTCGTGCATCATAAAATCTACCGAAGTTGATAACACAATTCTCAAAATTAAAATTACTTAACAAGCATTAAAAAAAATAATTAACAAACTTCATGGATTAAAATGATTAATTAATAACCTACAAATAACTATGTACTTTTTTCTTTTTATATCAATAAGAAGTTTTGATATTAGAAACTGAATCTACTAACAAAATATTGATTGAAGTGGTAAGAAACCTCAATCCCGTAAAACTAAGAGTATAAGAAGTGTAATTCATTGAGAGAAAAAAAAAAAAAATTAGAAATCGAATCAGAGTTACGAAAAATAAGCGGTAACAATGGGCTGGGTCGGACCCTTCTAAAGTCTACATATCGTTTCAAATTAAACTCTGACACAATAAAAAATCGCTGAAGGCCATTTTTGAAACCCTTGGTCGCGCGAGATTTCTAGTAGTTTGGAGAATTTGAAGGTAATAATAAAACCGTCAAACATTGAAATTTCACTCCTTTGAACATCCATTGCCGATTCTTGTTAGCTTCTACTGCTAGCCTTGTGTTTATTTGATGTGACAGCTTAGGTTTTAAACTGGGTTTTGCGTTGATTTATCTGAATTCGCTATGACTTTTATGAAATTTTACTTGTTTTTTCTGAAACATGCGCACTCAATTTTGTGAATTATACAAATACTGTTTATGTTTTAATTTCCTATACATAAAACAAGAAGAGGACAAGAATTATATACAATTTGTAAAAATTTAATTTAACAGTGACAATTCTAATCAGAGATGTTGGCAAATTAACTGCACATGGCAAAACATGTCCATCTTTGAAAAAAAAAATAATACTATAGCTTTTGCGAGTTCATGCTATTTGATTATACTTGCCAAAAGAATAATCGAAAACTCAATAATTCGAAATTAGCATAAATATCTTTTTAAATTATAATAGTTTTCATAGTAAAAACAATTAATATACTTTTTAATATTATAATAGTTTTCAATAGTAAAAACAATTAATATATATAATAATATATATATATATAATATATATATATAATATATATATATATTATAGGAGATCATATAGAATGGTATTATAAATAGATATTATATTTTTTATTAAGTCAAAATAATAAATTTATAATTTTTATTTTTTAAAAATGAAAATAGAAAATATGTTTAATATTAAATGGATTCGAATATTTAAATGAATAATTATAATAATTGAGATGAATTCGAATATTAAAGATGAATTTGTAAATGAGTTTAAAGACGTAATTTATAATTGAATTCAGCTTTGGTGAGTGCCGGATATCCATCGGGTTCCATTCCATCCTATTTATGGGCGGAGTTCAAAGGGAGAACACAACACTAGCAAACTTAGAAAAAAAAAAAAAAAAAAAAAAAAAAAAAAAAAAAACCGCACCGAAACAAAAAAAAAAAAAAAAAAAAAAAAAAACCGCACCGAACTGCTGTAGTTCGGGTATTTGGTTTTTGGTTCGTATATGCTTTTAATTTTCAATGGATTTCGGTTTTTCAGTCTGGTCTCGGTTTGGAAAAAAGAAAGTTCGGTTAACGGAGTAACTGCTGTCGTTTTGGGCTAAAAGTTGAGTTTTAATTTGTTAACCTAGGTTTTAATTTTAGACTTTGTAAGTCGTTTAGTTTCCCTCTGCGTGCGACTGGCAACTGCACTCCCTCTTTGATTTTTCAATCATCAATTATCTGTCAGTCTCATTCCTAATTGCGGCGGCACTCTCAAGCTTAGCTCCCTCTCATCTCTCTTCGGCTCTCGGCTCTGGCTCTCTATAATGTGTTGCATCTTGCAAATTGCAAATTGCAATTACAAAGTAAGTCCCTAAAGTTGAAGGCATATAAGGTGACGGTGAGTTTTCCTTTCAATTTCATATCATGTTTTGGTCAGACTATTAGCTAATACCAAAAGTTTTCCTCTGCTAAATGAGGACTTGCTGTGTTAAAGATTTGATCTTGATGGGTTTGGTGTAAAAATTGGTTGCTGTGATATATCAAAATTATTTTTGAATAGCATTTAAAGTTCTACCCAGTTCTTATTTTTTTAATTTCTGTCCCTTTGATTTTTTTCACTTTCGTTTCTTTTCTTTTTTGTTATAATCTTACCATTTTTTTTAATTAGTCTGGTTTATCTCTAAAATTTTTTCACTTGAAATGGAGTTTATGGCATTTCTTGGCAAGATTGCAATTGAAAAAGGCTCAAAAAGTAGTAATGATGGAAGATTGACGAGGGAATGAAGGATGAAAAGCAGCAGATTGTTGGTTTAGGTTCATGGCATTTTGTTGATTTGGGTTTATGGGAGCTTCCATCTTTAAACGATGATGAAGAAGGAGGCAAAATTAAGGCTGGAACAGAAAGTTTTGTTAGCCTTTATGATTTATGAAGAGGCATCAAGGCAACTGTAGCTTGTGGATTTTAATTTGATGTAAAGATTAAAACTATTTTACTTATTACGGAATTTGCGGTTTGGTAAGATTCGGTTACCAAATAGTTTCGCATTGGATCGGTCAGCTTAAAAATTGTATTTTTCGGTTCGGCCCGGTTCGTAACCGAACCGCCCGATTGCTCGCGCTGGACTCTATTCTCTCCTTTTTGCATCTCTACTCTCTCCATTTCTCACACCGCCTCAAACCTACAGGTCGCCTCCTTTAGTTAAGACAAACATCGCCATCGAGTCAACGTCATCAACTGAGCGATCATCGAATCGTTCTTTACTTCACCGCCTTTACGAGGTCGTAATCCTCCAGTTCACGTTATTTCAAGTTATACATACAATTTTGCAGATTCTCATTCTCCGTATTGACTATTCAATTTGGGTTTGATCTTTTTCTTTTTATCTACTGTAATTTTATTGTGTTTTGATTATTTTCAGGGAAGGGAAAAAAAGCCAAAGAGTATCTTTCTTGAGGTTTTCGAAGACTTCTTAACATGGTAAGGCTTTCTCCTATTAGCTTCTTCTTCTTCTTTTTCTTTTAATAGATCTCTTTTAATATTCGTGGTTTTCTTATAATGTTTGATAATCAGGTTCTGATTTTGGAATTTGATTTTAAACATCTTTTTATGTAATATTGGGTAAGTGGTGGCTTTAGTTGGTTTGTCTTGTTCTCTCAAAAAAATCTTTTGGGCTATTAACATGAAAATTATGGAATTTTACTTTGCATAAACTTTTACATCTTGGCCTTTATAAACTAATCCACCTGTTCTCTTCTTGGTGTTCTCTTCGACCAGTCTATGATTAATTTTATATGAAATTTGTAAATCCCGGTTGCTATCATCAACACAACATAGTGATGAACCATTATAGATGAGGATTCAATTGAATGAATCCAACTTTACCAAGTTTTTATAGGTTTTGAGTCTTAGGATGGATACTGGGTAAAACCCTCTTTTGAATATGGTGTGATAGGTAGTTTGGTTTTCTATTCTATCTGTTATATGTGTTCTAGAAACTATTTTTGTTGTACATAGATGATTTTTTAGGTTTTGTACAGCATTCAGCGATCCTTATTTATGATCCAAAAGTTGTATGCTGAGGATTTTTTTGTAGATTTTTTATTTTTATTTTATTGGATGTTGTTGGCCACATTGCCAAAATTACACAACATAAGCAATTAAGCATCAAATGATTTTAGATCTGAGGAACGATTTGATTGAATTTGCACATTCACTTTCATAGTTTTCTTTTAAACTTTGCTTTTACTTGGAGTTTAATTTGTGAGAGAACTAGGATAACATTTGTCTCTCTTTTATAGTTTTCCTTTCTTTTTGGGCCATTTTCCTAGGAGGTGTAAACAAAAAGAATATTTACCTAATCAGGGTCAATTCAACAATATCTACCAAGAAGGGATAAAATTTTACAAGTTAGCTAAGGATAATACATGAAGGGAGATTAACTAAACAAAAAATAGAATATTATGATGTTTTCATTTTCCTATGATAGTAACATGTTCATAACTTGCAACATAAGTACAATAATGTATTGAGTATGAATTTGCTTCTATGTCCTGTCAAATTCCCACCTCCCCCCATCCCCCTTCTCTTGTAAGTATTTTTTAATTGATTCTAATTTTTTATGTATGTTTTTTAAGTTACAATTCTTTGTAAAATGGCCCTATCTTTTTTAATTTTGTTAATGAATTATCATCAGAATCCATGACTATCTGTTTCTAATTATTCATATGTGTTCTTACTGTGTAATCTATTTCTTATATTGACATTTTTTTTTTTTTTTTGGCATGGTGTTCTTACTGTATGTTAATCTATTTCTTATTATTGACATTTTTTTTTTTTTGGGTCTTGGTTTTTTTTTTTTTTTTTTTTGGGTCTTGGTTGGATATTTTTCACAATTCAATGTATCAGCGTGGGGTTTTTTTTATGGGGTAGTTTGCGTGATAACACTTTGTTGGAAAAGTTGCAAAAGTTTCTTAATGCTGACTTTTACAGGATACAAAGAAGGTACAGAGTTCTGTACTAGCATTTACAGATGATACACTTCTTTCTGTAAGTACAATAGTAAATGCAGTTAGAGAGCTTGGTCATGAAGGAGCTGAGCAATGTGATCCTCAAGTCGTCACTCAAGCGTCGTCTCTAAGTACTTTCCTTAATATTTTCTCAGTTTTTTTTTCTTATTTTTGGTGTTCAAGTTTATTTTTGTGGTCAAAAGGCACATGAAAACATGCACATGATGTATGTGAGTGTACATGTATGTAAAGGTCTTGTATTTGCATCACTTATTCCTCCATTTTGTAGGCATTGCTATATTGTCCTTTTTTTTTTTTACCAGTAGCAGATGCTTAAATTATTGTGTGGTAAATCATAAAAAGCTCACTTATGTAATAAACGAGATGCAAAAATAGGAAAAACCCAGGAGAAGGTAAATGCAGTTCATTCACTAAATATTTTCCTACTTACAGATCATGTTCCACCTACATCATGGAATAAAAGATTTTTGCTTGTATATTAAAAAATAATCTGGTATGTTTTTTCTGTACTTTGAGTTATGAGTTATATGTATCCATCTGATGCAGATAGGGAAAATTGTTCTATCTAATTGAAATCCACTCCAGTGATTAGTATTGGTGAAAAATTCAAACGATTAATGATTATAAACTCTATAAAACAGAGTAATCAAAATTTATGGTCTTTGAAAATTTTTTGATAAGGCCCGTGGAGAAGAATTTAGAGTTGGATAATTCTGGAATGGTTGCATTAAAGAATCCTTTTTCTGTAAGCCTTCTCACACAGCTGAGAATCTTTCACCTAGTCATCATTCCTTCTTTAACTCTCATACACGTGTTTTGCCATCTTAAATTTCTTTGGTACAGTTGGTACTTAGGCTTAATGATGTTATGACACAACAATACCATGTTCCAAGTATTGAATAATTTTACAGCTGATTCTTCATTGCAATTTTACTTTGATTCCTTTTCCTCTCCATTTTATTATTCTAAAACAGTTATATCAAGTAGGTATCAAAGACCTATAATATTTATTGTTGACCTGTCTCAGGTAAGCTGCCAGTTGATTCTTCATCCATAGATATTGTCATTTCCATCAGCACGTCACTCCAATTTCCTGGTGATCTGTTGTTTGAAGAAATTTTAAGAGTGTTGAAGCCTGGTGGGACTGTCCTAATTTACAAAAGTCTTAGGTCGGTGGCAGAGGAAACAGATGAGGTGAATATCAAGGTGTTTCTTACATAGTGAAGTTTTGTTAGTTTGAAGTTAAGTGTCTCACCATGGTGTTTCTGCAGGCAATAGTTGCTCTAGAGCGGAAGTTGTTGTTAGCAGGTCTTTTGGAAGCACAAGTTGTCCGATCGAATTCTATTGGACTATCTGAAGTTGTTCAATCTTTTGGGGTGAGTTCCAGTTTTGCTAACTATAATTATCTCCTTTTTAAAGCATCTGTTGTGGATTGAATTCTCCTCTTTAAAGGGGATTCGTATCTTGTGGAACTTTTGTGACATCGGTGGATGGCTTGAGGCAGCATGATGAATGATGATCAATGTTTGATTAAAAAATGTTCTCTAATTCTAGCAAAGCAGAAATCTCTCTTGATAACCTCAAAAAATTGCCTGTATTAGATCAAGGGTAATGTTCGTAACAATTTTTGCTGAAGCTATGTTACTGCTATTTTGTTTTTTTATTGTGATAATTTCTCTATCCGATTGAGATATCTCCTTTAAGCTGTTTGGTCATAGCCCCTCGAGTAATTTTTAGTTATTCTGGTTGTGAGCTTGCATGAACTACAAAATAAGTTTTTATTTTCTATACCTTAATAAAGCGCAAATAAATAAAGAAGACGTTTGATCATATTTATATATTTTTAATTGAGTTCGAGATTTAATTATTTGTCAGGTTCTTTACATTGTTTTTCTTCCCCTTTTTCTTTAGGTTAAGGCTAAGAAGCCTTCTTGGAAGATAGGGTCATCCTTTGCTCTAAAGAAGTCCATAAAAAGTTCAGTAAAGGTTCAGATTGACGATGATTTAATTGATGAAGATAGCCTCCTGACTGAAGAGGACTTGAAAAAACCTCAACTACCACCTGGTTAGAGAAGTTGTGGATTCCTTCACCTTTGCCAATTCGTTTTGGTATTTCGGCCATGCATTATTAACATTTTTTTATTTATTTGTCTAGTTGGTGATTGTGAAGTTGGAAGCACAAGGAAAGCTTGTAAAAACTGCACATGTGGGAGAGCTGAGGCTGAGGCAGAGGAGAAGGTGAAATTAGGACCGACAATGGATCAGCTGAACAATCCTCAATCAGCTTGTGGCAATGTATGTTTATATTATTATCTCTTAACATATGATAAGAGTTGATGTGAATATATAGTTGTGGCTGTAATATTCATTGTGCTTAATCGAACACAGCTCAAGGCGTCGCCGTGCCATGCACGGATATGTTAAGAGCAGACTTAAAAAATTTTCACCTTTGAGTCATCAATGGATTTGTGGTTCAACAGGCTAATTTACACAATTTATTCTTATGATTTACGTGTAGTGTGGACTAGGCGATGCTTTCCGATGCGGTACATGTCCTTACAAAGGTCTCCCAGCATTCAAACTTGGTGAGAAGGTACGTAATTAAATGAAGCATTTCTCTCTGATTTCCTTTTCTGGGTTTTTTGTACCCGTTTGTAATAATTGAAGCTGAGTCTATGTTTCTTTGTACAGGTATCACTGCCTGGAAACTTCCTTGCTGCAGATTTTTAAATGTGGGAAAAAAAAACTTGGCCGAATTATGTTTTGATTTGGGCAACGAGAGGCCATTTGTTTAATCAATACTCGGTGGACAGTCCAACTATTTCGTTTTGGATTTTCTCTAAATTGTTGAACGTTGTCTATCTTCAAACTTTGATATATAATATGTATTAAATATCTTAATTGAACATCTTGATAGTTCGGAGTTTTGTCGTTCATCTCTATTAAGTAATTGGAAATTGAAATGGAGATGTTTAAGAGTTCTCAATTGGCAAAACCCAAATGGTTCAAGGTATGTGGACATTAAGCTCTGTTGTGTTTTTAAAGATAATATAAGAATTTCATTAAAAAACTTAAAATCAATACAAATATTATAAGGAGGACAACAACCTCTCTCTTGAAGATCATATATAAAGCAAAAATTATAAGATAATTGCTATCTAATAAGAAATTTTAGTAAAAAATAGGTGAACTTGAAGAAAATATATAGATTTTCAAAAGTGGTTGATTAAATGAACTCTCTGAATCTTTTATGCATGATATAATTATCTATTAATTAATTGTTTATGAAAAATATAGAGGATTTGAACTACTAAATCCAATAGAGGAACAGACCGCAGTATCAAGTTTCAAAAGACAAAGATCATTGTATAGTTGAAGAATTCTCAACAAATTGCAACATATTCAAATAAACCAAATAAATGCAAGCAACAAAACTCTACATAAATTGGAGAGATTATAAACTCTACAAAAGATGAAGATAAAACATAGCAAAAATATAAATAACATGAATCTACATCAGAATCTATGTATATTATGTAATTTATTTAACAAAAAACATAAAAATTTGCAACAAAACTAAAAGTATACTAAAAATACGAGGAGAGGCTGTTTCAAAAGACAAGAATCAATCACTTTCCTTATCTATATGCTTGATTTTGTATTTCAATGGAGAATCAATGCCTCTCCGTATCTACATGCTTAATTTTGTGTTTAAATGGAGAGAAGGAAAGAAATTTTAGTGGCGAAAGGGAGAGAGAGGGGGGCGACGGTTCAGGATTCGAACTTGAGACTTTTTATTCCTCACATATGTGAGAAAATCAACCAAACCATTACCTAATTGGCTTGAACTTTGTTTGATATGTAAGCGAATTTTTTGAAATTTTATAAATTCATATTTGGTGTTTTGGTATAAATGAAAATTTATTTAGAATTTTAACTTATATAGAATTGATTATTATTTAAATTATTTATTGTTAAAATAAGAATAAAATTTAAATGGAGTAAATTATAGTTGTATTCATATATTTGCCAAAAAAGACTTTCTTTATCTCTGTCTTCTTGGAATAGTCTGATAAACCCTTGAATTTTTAATCTGTAAAATATTATTGTTATGTTTGAGAGGGTGGAAAGTGACACTATTCATTTTTTTTCCAAAATGGAGTGAAAATAATACTGACATTTTTATCCAAACTAAATAAGGGATTTTCAAGACATTTTATCCTCTATTTTACATCTATCCATATTTTGCACCCATCCAAACAAAGCATAAATGGTCTTTGACTAACCTGAAATGAATATTTACTAATATGAGATCCTCTTTTTGGTCTTCCATAAACAGTGCCCTCTTTTTTCTCTCTCTCCTCTACGCTTTTGATTTGGAAGGGTTCAACAATTAACTCATGGTTGCTTCAAATTCAACTAAAGGAATAAATTAATTCAACAGCATCTGCAACACTTAAAGGATTCCTCACCCAAAAATCGAAGTTTCAATTTCTAAAGCCCCCGAATGGTTCAGGCATTTCATTTTCATCAAACAAAAAAATAAAAATATGACACTTCCATTTGCAGATGTATGTTTTAATATGGCACTTTGAAGCTAAACGAAAACTCTCGAAGCATCATGGATCCAACATTTCGATTAGACCTCAACGACTTTTCAAATAATTAAGAAACGCCCACACCTATATTGTGAATGAAGCGACTTAATATAAAATTATGAGTTTGAACTTCATATGCATCTTTATGACGTTGATAACTTTATTTATGTGCGTGTTTTTTTTTTCAACCTTTTATTGATTGGATTTATGTCTATTATAATTAAGTCTCATTATTATTTTCTATGGCTTAACCTAAAAACCCTGACTTATGCGAGTTGTTGCAGAAATTCTGAACTAATCTTCGTACTCTAACATCCCAAATTAAAAAATATTTGCAGACAACAAAATCAGGCAACTATAAGGAGTAAGAACTAATTGCTGAAATAGAATGCAAGGAGTCACAGAACCGCACATAATCATATGTAAAACTTCAAAAGAATAACGAGACTTAAAATGAAGCAAACATTTTAACGACAAAGGTGCATCCTTTATACAGCTTCTGTTTGGAATCCAAAAGTATATGCAAGTGACAAAACCTCGTCGACGCCATCGATGTCGCCTTGCACCCACCTACCGCAAACTTCAATTAGTTTTCTTAGCAAGAATTTTCAATCCTATTTGGAGTAGAGTTGAAAATGGCAGAGATATTGATTCCGACATTTAAAGTAAAAAGAAAAATCCAGAAACTTTAATCATTAGTTATAATCTCCACATTGGGAATGTAATGATTTTTTTATTAATTATTATGAGAAGAGAATAATTCCAATTTTCATTTTCTCTCTAACCTATATATTTCAAAACGGCTAAAGAGACAATTCAAATCCACTTAATGCATTTTGGTCCCAACCTTCAAAACCTATCTAGTATCACTCGGATAAGTAATATATAATTGTAAAGATTAATCAAATAGATTCTTAATTCATAAATAATCATATGAAGGCCCCACGCTTTATTAAGATTGCTTTTCTGGTTTCTAATTTATAAATTATATATATTTCTAACATATGAATAGTATTTAATATATATTACAAGATCCATTTTCCGGCGGATTACTTTATTAAACTATCATGTTATTAGAAATTATAATACTATTAATTCATTTAAAATAATTATAAATTTCAATTAAATTTTAGTTAGAGTTTATTATTTTTTATCCTAATAATTTCATATAAAGTACTATAATTTAAATAACAATATAGATAATATACAACAAAATAGTAGATGGATAAAAAAATTCAAATAATTCAATGTGGATAGTTTTATATTTAAATAAAAATATTAAAATCATAATTATCTAAGTATAAGTATTTTAAAAATAGTGGATAGATAAGAACAATTTCAAAAGCTTTTTTAATTTTTAGGACAAAAGAATATTCACAAATAAATTCTCACTGATTATTTCAAATAATTCATGTTTTTTACATTAACTTATAAAATATAAAAAAATTACTATAATAAAATATTTAAATAATAATAATAACAACAACTGAAGAAGGAACAGTTATACCATCGACAAATGAGAAATAAAATAATCGGTTAGGTTGTTATTTTTATTTGTTTTATCAAATTATGTTTTAATAATCAGTCACATCTTGCTAATATCTATAATTGACTGGTAATATTTGAGGTATAACATATTATAAAAATTAATTATTATGAAAAATCATTAAGTCATAAAAGGCGTTGCAGTACATATAGAGTGAAATACAAAATGAATTACATGGACCCAAGCTAATGCAAACTCTTAATCACAAGCTAGTAATAAGATTTTCAAAAAGGAAAAAGAAAAAGTAGAAAAATTATAAGAAAATGTTAAGAAAGTGTATTAAAAAATTAAAAGTTAATGCTCAAAAAGGAGAGTGCCACAGCATTATTAAAATATTTTTTTATGATTAAAGTTTGTTAACTCTATTTATTTGCCTAAACATAAGAAAATAAAAAACTACAACAAAGAATCCATAACTTACGGTATATATTTCTTAAAATTAATTGAATAAAAGAAATTATGATAAAATATTTTTTTCATGTTAGATTATTTAATAATCTGTATGTGACCCATTTGATTAAACGGCTAATTCTAATTAAGGTGGCCCAAGATGATGGTTATTGGGCTTAATGAATAAGAGCCAGTTAGGGTTTTACTACCCTTCATCTGCGTTATAAAAGTAAAAGGAATCGAGCTTAGGGTGAACATAGAAAAGAAAACAAAATAGAGTGCGTTATAAAAGTAAAAGGAATCGAGCTTAGGGTGAACATAGAAAAGAAAACAAAATAGAGGGTGTGACTGCTGCCTCAAACACATACGGTGATAGCTTGTATGAGAGAGCTGATAAAAAGTAACTCTCGTAGCTATTGATTGTTCTCTGACCATTGAGAGAAAAAAGGCAGAGCTGTTGATTGTTCTCTGACCATTGAGAGAAAAAGGGCAGAGGAAGAAACGTAGATCTGTTGTTACGGTAAGAATCGAATTGCAGCAACAAGGTAACCCATAACATAAATCTGCTGTTATGGATCAAGCTTCCGATTATTATCTATTTCTATCAAATAATTCTATAAACAATAGATCTGGATTATATCGATGATTATTTAACATTTCAAACATGATACATTCATTATTTATACCCTAATACTCGATTCTAGATATATTATACACTAATATTTTTAATGTATTATTATTTTCCAGTGCAAATGAACTTGTCATTTCATGACTTTTGTTTTATTATTTATACATTAAAATATAATATTCAATTATAATGAAAAATTAATAAATAAGAAATATTAAGAATTCAATATATAAAATAAATATATTAAAGCTCTTGGAGTGAGTTTGATTTTCTTATTAAGGGATATTTGGAGGTTTTGGATCTGATTAGGGATATTTGGAGGTTTTGGATCTGATTATGCACGGAGGGTAGTGTGGACTGTTGGGATTCTAACTGATCCCGAGTGGGGCCCGCGAAAAATACCGGTGGTAAAAGTAAAATAGAATTACTATTACCACATATACCTCCAATAATTAAATATTAAATATTGACGATCGAATCCACCATAAATAATAATCACGGTAAAAATTAAATAATTAAAATTAAAAAAATTAAATAATTACCGTAAATGCTAGAAAAAAATAAGAACACCGAGAATTATGTGGTTCACCCTTCAACTGTTATGGGCTACGTCCACGGGACAAAAAATCTGAATAATTCTTCTACTAAAAATAGTAGGTACAAAAGAGATTACAAAAAATAGTGGCACTCTAGTGTTTAATAAAAACACCCCAAAAATTACAATATTCACTATTTTCTCTCTTTCCCAATTTTAGGAACCCTTTTCCTAAAATTTTTCTTTGTTTTTATGTTTTTATTTTTGTACATTTTGAAATAAAAATCCT